ACAAGCCACACACACACACACACACACACACACACACACACACACACACACACACACACACACACACACACACACACACACACACACACACACACACACACACACACACACACACACACACACACACACACACACACACACACACACAGTGAGGCAGGCCAACTGCGTCATCCGTCACAATCACACAAACCATCTACGGACTCATGCACACGCGTTTGCTCCCCGCACTAGCTGCTTCCTCTGAGACATTCACCACCGTGGCGACAGTAACCGCGACAACGGGCATAAATTAACGTCATGGCGATATTCAAAGCGAAGGAGCAACAATTAAAGCTTGACTAACGAGCTTTTGAGGAGCAAGGCTGAAGTTTCCCCGAGCAGCTGCTAACTGGATTAGCCTACACAGACAGACACACACTCACACATAGAAACGCACACACACACCAGAAAGGATGAAGCAGAGGGTTATGTTTAAACACTACCTGTGAGACGGCTCACACACAAACACTCACACACACCAAACACACTCACACAAAAAAAGCCAAAGGCTAATATACACATGTGCTAATGCAGACAAAGAAAATAGTATTTTAACACAGCAAGTATCACTTTGCCAAAACACAAACACCATAAGCAGGAGTGTCTCAGGGGAAACTAACATATCAGCACAAATTATTCACACACACACACACACACACACACACACACACACACACACACACACACACACACACACACACACACACACACACACACACACACACACACACACACACACACACACACACACACACACACACACACACACACACACACACACACACACACACACACACACACACACACACACACACACACACACACACACACACACACACACACACACACACACACACACACCTTTCCTCATCCAGCGGAGCTTTGACAGTTGTTAAACCTTAAATAAACAGTTCGACCAATGCTCTGTCTATGAGCTGAACGAGTACTCCTTTACTGTTTAAACATTTGTATAAAATGTGTTCTCAGTTATGATCTGCATCACTCAGGCAGTGGGCTTACTCTGAAGCAGCAACCTCTACAAACATGTCATCAAAGACTTTTATAAACTTTAATAAACTCAAATTAATTGTCGTTTTTTGTCTTTAAAAGGAAAAATCTACTCAATATCTTTTTGTCGTTTAAATTCAATGATCAAATCAAATAAACTCATTGGTATTTATTTGGGCTTGTATATGTAGCACCGCCTTGTTTGATGCATTTGGCAAATGTTGTATTTATTTTCAAGCTTTCTCAACATGACATGCTGAAGAAGTTGTTCCAACAATTCGGGCACAGATGGTTTTTGATTGGTTTCACCAAGACCCTTTTTCAATGCCAAAATGTTGCCGCCATTTACTCTACAGCAACAATTGAAATGTTGTCACTTCATTATTCAGATGATTACAGTACACCAATGATTAAGTGTTGCAGATCGATAAGCTCCAGTAATGACTGTACGTCCGTTGTATGATCAGGCACTAAAACAAAGGATCCTACACTTCCCATAATGCAATTTGAAGCAATGACTTCATGAGACTGTCCCTTTCATTTTATAATGGAGGCTATATTCAATCGAACATGTGTTATATCCAAGCCAAGATATCTCTGATGACATCATTTGATGTCATTCTTCACAAACTTCTTTCAGCCACTTCAAACATTATAATTCATTTTATTATAAATATAATGAAAGCCTACTCGAGTTACAGTCTCCTTTAGTCAAGAGATCTCAACAACACACTAATTTTAAATGTGTGTATGCACATCATCATTTAGTTAATTCAGCGTTTTAAAAAAATGATTTAATTCAAATAAATCACAGTGAAATAAGTAGACTAGACTCTTCTCCTCTGTCGCCCCCCGGTGGTGGAATGAACTTCCAAACTCCATTGGATCTGCAGAGTCCCTCTGTACCTTTAAGAAAAAGCTAAAGACCCAGCTCTTTCATGAATACCTACTAACTTAATGATGATGGTCTCCATATTATTGATGTTGATGATGGTTGTGACGATTGTTTTAGTTTGATAACGATGACTTATAAGATGGTTTCTATACTGATTAGAGCTCTCAAGAACTGCCCTCAATGTTGTGCTTTGCCTCTGGTCACTTCCTGTCAGCACCTGTGTGTCCAATCAGACTCAAAGCTGATCGTTTGCTCTTACTCACATTGTTCCCTTTTTTCTAGATCCTTGCTTGTGTTGTTCTTACTCTCTGATGTACGTCGCTTTGGATAAAAGCGTCTGCTAAGTGAATTGTAAATCCCAACACCAACCTGAGCCCAGCCTGCCCTAGCTAACAGGTCTTCAGACTGGGCTCGGGTCGGCTTCAGGTAGCAGGAAAGTTCATCTAGGAGAAGGCTGTGAAGTTAGCAGAGCTGTTTGGATTAGGGTTATTTGATAAACTTACAATGATGTTTGGTGTTTCTATATATCATGAAGGAATGACCATCCTTTAGTGTTGAACATAGCTTAAGACTGCTCAAGAGGTAGGCAGTGGAGAAACGTGATCTTAACATGTAAAATCTGTCAAATACAATCTCACTCACTTTTACTATAAATGTGCTATTATGGAAGAGTTGGTGCGACTACCGACTAAAAATAAACTGACTTACTGATAACAGTCATACCGTTTGAGCTAAATACATGTAGAACAGTGATTATTTTGCATTTCAGACACTCTGCTCTGAATTGCTCACTTATTTCTCTCTTTCCAGGTCCTTGACTATCTTTTTAATATGCTCCATTCTCACTCCACCATAAATCTCTCTTTTTGCAATTGCCTTTCTCCTTTAAGTCACTCTTTTTCTTCTCCACACAACCCTCTCCCCTCTCTTCCCGGTCTCCAATTCTCCTCTGCTCACTCAAATAAATCTCTGCTCCCCTCCTCTTTCTGCTCACCCCCCCAAATCTATGAAACACACACAAACATACATGTGAAGGGACTAGCACTCACTCACTTACGCACACAAACACACAACCCTCCAGGCAGCAGCCACAAAGGCCCCATATTAATAAATCTGCTCCTTTATTGGTGCTGAGTGTCTCTGGCAGAGGGAGAAAGAGAGGGAGGAGAGAGGGAGGAAGGAGGAGGAGCAGGACAGAAGATGCAGAGATCACCAGGGGGGAGGAGGAGGTGATTGACTGTGGCCATATCATGAACACGAGAGAGAGAGAGGGATAGAAAGAGAGAGAGAGAGAGAAAGAGAGAGGGAGAGAAAGAGAAAGAGGGAGAGAAAGAGAGAGTGAGAGAGAGCGAAAGAGAGAGAGGGAGAGAAAGAGAGAGAGAGAGACATAGAAAGAAAGAGAGAGACACAGAGAGAGAGAGAGACATAGAGAGAGAGGGAGAGAAAGAGAGAGAGAGAGAGAAAGAGAGAGAGGGAGAGAAAGAGAGAGAGAGACATAGAGAGAAAGAGAAAGAGAGAGACATAGAGAGAGAGAGGAAAAAAGAGAGAGACAGAGAGAGAAAGAGAAAGAGAAAGAGAAAGAGAGAAAGGTGAAAAAAGAAAGCATTGACAAGTGCACTCTCAACAAGATGCCCACAGCAGCACACACACATTTTTACACAGTAATTCACTGGCCCTGAGACAATGAGCAACACATTGAGACAAACCATACGAGTGTGTTTTTAACTTACAAAGGTGTTGTGTGGCAGTACAGTCCACCCACACTTCCTAAACGTCCTATGTCCCCTCGATTATTAAGGACACCTGACACCTGGCTGAAAGCACTGGAGCATTCAGAGTGGGCTGTGCTGCTCGCCGGGCTTGGGGAAACAAACTGCCCGAGGTGGGCTTTGGGTAATGACAGCAGCTAGCCTGGCTTAGTGGTCCAATCTCAGCCATCAGTCAGCTGTGACAGATTGGGGATATGAGCTAAGGAGCCGTTTAGCTTTGGTGTTTGCTGTTGTGTGTGAGTGCATGCGCTTGTGTGTCTGGGGGAGGAACAGCGTTTGGGGGGGGGCTATCAGTGCTGCTAGTGTTGCAGAGGCATCAATACTAACTCGACAGGCCATTTTCCTATGCCTTTTCCCAGCCAAGGCTTGTTGCTGGGGCAACTACCGCCATTTTATCATCCCCGACTGCACCTCAGGAAGGTTTTGCAAAACAGAAATTCATTTTTTTTGTGATATGTCCTGGTCAATTTGAATATCCTTAATATATGTTTAATTCCTTGATTCTTCCGTCCTCGATGCTTATTCTGCATTTAAAATGAATCCTCAATTAGTTGACCAAAAAGGTGTTTAAAATCTACCCAAGAGCTGTTTCTTGTTTGTGCGTATATTTGACTATTTAGTAGCAATAACCTGCTGAGCCTTTTGGTTAAAGAAATGTGGCCTTGTGGGTAACTGTGATTCCGATGATGTATGCCAGCATTTTGTTTCAAACATGTCAGACAAATGTTTTTGAGCTGCAAAAAAAAAGTGTGACGCTGTACCTCTGACACAGTAAAGCGTATTTTTATTTTCTAACTGGCTGTTAACAGTGGTTTCCAAATACATGTAAGCTCAGGTTCAAGTGTAGCAGTGAAAAGAATCTGTGAATTGTGTTGGCTAATCCGAATAGATAAAGCACCTGTTGCCAAAACATTTCACAACACAACAATAACTTATCTATGATGAAGTTAGTGGACTCTTAAGCAGCTAGTTAAGGTTCACTAACGCGTCAAATATTCAACGTCTGGCAGCTCTCAGAGTAGACTCACAGTTGTCTGTATATTTTGAGAGATCCAGCCTTTTAAATCACTTCTAAGGGATTGACAAGCAAAAACTCCATGGCGTTTTGTTATCCTTCCAAAGGTCATAGGTCTAGTGCTCTAAAACACCACCCTCCAAAACCTCGGCACTCGTCTCCACAGAAACTTCTGCTGATATAAAAACAACTCCAGAGGGAGAGCTCAAGCAGAAAAGCAACAGTATTAACTTCACTGTGAAAGCATCAATGCAATGAAGAGAATCTGCCTTACCTGTCCATGAGGCTGCATGGTGCTGTAGGGCATGTTCTGGTTCAAGACTTTCTGTTTCAACAGCAACATCCTCTTCTGTTCTTCACTAAGGTGAGCTGTCTGTCCCGGGATCGGGCCCTGCGTCTGCCCTGGCCCCGGGCCCTGGCCGCCGCTGCCACCGCCCATATAGGGAGGCATCATAGGGTTCTTGACCTGATTGTTTCCTCCCATGGGCGGAGTCATTCTCTGCCCTAAGTGATCAACCCCGCTGCCACTGAAGTGGCTCAGCGGTTTGGTGTTGTTATAGGACAACATGGCTGCCGTTTGCTGCTGCTGCTGTTGTTTGGACAGGGCGTTCTGGTTGATGCTGTTCGGCTGCTGCTGGCCCATCATGCCCATGTGGTTCTGAGGGAGGTAGTTGTTCATGGGGGGTTTGGGCCCATTGTTGGGGGGCATCCCAGCCACTAGAGGGCCCTGCGGTGTGTTAAAGGCTTGCGGTGGGTACATCATGGGGCTGTTGGGTTTGTCTTGGTTAAAGGGACCAGAGTTATAGGGACTGGTTGGAGCTCCTGCAGGGGACCAGTTTGCTGCTTGTTGCTGCTGCTGCTTCTGTTGCAGAAGTTTAGCACGTTGCTGAGCCATTGCTTTTAGCTGCTCTGCTGGAGAAAGTTCAGGCGTCACTGGACCTACAGGCTGACCTCCTGGAGCAACCCCAGCTGCTCCTGGCCCTGTGCCCGCCTGACTGACCCCTGGGCCTGGGTTGATCATGTAACCATTCCCAGGTCTAGAGACTGCTTGTGTCTGAGCCTGGGTTGGGGTCTGAGGGGAGCGAGCCACGCAGTTATGCAACGGGGAACCCGATGCCATGGCAACGGCTGGAGACTGCTGCAAAGGTTGCTGAGGAGGCGTTCCATTGGCAGTGGTAGCAAACTGAGGGCCTGAAGACGATGGTCGGACCTGTGGAGAGGAGTCCAAACAGACAAAAGATACCATGAGACACATTGTTATAACCTTCTTAATGAATATTATGCTTAAATTAAAAAGAGTACAGACAGGAAATGGAGGAACGGAGCAAACATTTCTCCCCTAAAAAGTAAAAAAAAATATGCCTATCAACACTTTTACCTATCATGTTATCTATCTCATGTTTTTTTTTTTTTTTATGCAGACAGCACAAATTCCAATGTGTGAGTTTAGGGGAAAACCCTCCTAAAAGCACTTTTCTAACTGTAATTCAGTAACAGTGCTGAAACAAACCTCTGCCGTCATTACACATTTGTACTTTCATATTGATTACACAACAGTGCTGTTGGTTTACAAGTCTGTGATTTTGCATTGCATCACATCATGTAAAAATACAGTGGGGGCTCCAGTCACACTCACACTCAGACATGCACACATAGACGGAAGCTAGGTTATAAGACAACACAAACAGGGTCGTTTGCTACATGTCATTTAGCTAATTATAAGAAAAAGAAAAAAAGAAAATACAACATAAGGGTAAATTCACTCTATATTAAAAAAAAATTCACAACAACTTTGTTTTGGCACGACAAACATGTTGCTCCACCTGAAGTGCACTGAATACATCCAAACCATAAGCTGCGAAAATGAATGCACAAAGCCTGAGTGACGTCAGGGGGCGCTGGAGTGGTCGCCATGCTGAGGTGGGTTTTACGCCTCTTGACAAACCGTTACACCGTGCCCGCCTGTCAATCAGGTCAGCTACACGCCTTATTGTGCATAAGGCTTATCCTTCATCAAATCAAACAGATGAGTTATCATAAAGTTCACCCCCCGTACAGTGTACGCCTAGGATTTATGTTTTGATTCATGTACCTGTGACCTTTGGAGAGAAGCCTGTCTAACTATCGGTCTTCCCTATTCCCTATTCCTATTACTTGAAATCCTTGGATCAAGAATGAATAAAAGAACAATATTTTGTTATGTGTACGCAGATAATAAATGTTTAATGAAGTTTTGCTTTTGCTGTCATACTGATCTTTTAAGTTTGTTACAATAATAATAAATAGGTATTTAGTATGGCGACTCAAGTCACCACTGCATTCTTCATAATAAAGTTGGTTGGCCCTCCCTCACTGAGAGACGCAATAACCACTGGCATCTTTTTATCTATAAAGCCCTTACTGGAAAGCTTGAACCCCGGTCCATTTTTAACCCGCTCAAGAGAGAGAGAGGCTGGTTCTCCAGGTTCCTCATGCCAGGACTGACCTGGGGAAAACTGCTTTTAGTGTTAGTGCTGCAAACTCCTGGAACATTTTACAACAGGACCTGAATTTGAGCACTTTTATCCCTTAGGACACTTTAGAAATATTATTTTGAACTGCCCATTACCTGACTGTAACTGTTTTATTTGATTTTAATTACTGACTTATCACTGTAGTCATTTCAAGCTTTTAAATTATTTTAGTGTATATATCTTATTGTTCTTATTGCTCTTTTATTGATTTTATTTTCTGTAGTAGCTTAATCTCATTTCTTGTTGTTTATCATTTATGTAGGTTTTCTCGACATCATTGTAAATGAGGGTCGCTCCGAGAACTTAAATAAAGGTTGATGATGATAAAGTGACTTACATGCCAACTGCATTTCTGTCCTTAAAGAAAACATCACAGGTAGACATAGGGGTCAAAATACGCTGCCCAATCATATTGACCCTCTTTGAACTGACCTGTGGTGAGCCCATGGGGACCTGTGGACCGCCCTGTGGAGGCTGAGGAGGAGGGGGAGGCAGGGCTGCTGGTGTTGATCCCCCTCCAGGTGCCGTTGTGTTACCAGCTGCTTCTTGCGGGCCTGGTGTCTGATTGTTCGCTGGCCTGCCAAACTCTGCCTCTTTCTTGTCCTCAAAGTCCTCGTTGAAGAGGTCGTGCATGTCGTCCTCTGGCACCGTGTTGGCCAACTCGTCGATCAGCTCCTGCCACTCTTGGTCATTGAGGTTGATGTCAGAAAACAGTTTATTCTGATTGGACAGGGACTGGGGATCGGAGGACTCCATCCCACCTCCGTCATCCAGCGGCTCCTGTTTCAGGTCTTTAAGAAGGCTGAAGCTGTCCTCCAGGTCCAGTGAGCCGTTGAGCTTCATGTCAGCTAGATGACTGCCTCCGTTCTTCCCCAGCTCATCAGTTGCCTGGCCCACGTGGTTGCCGTTGCTGTTTGTAGTGTTGTTTCCGCTAGAAGTGTTGGGCCCCCCAAGTATGGGCTTAACATCCATTTGGTGATGCAGCGGAGAGATGGGTGGTACATTGTTGTTATTGTTGTTGTTAGGGAGTCCTGTTAGCGAGTCCAAACCACCAGAGCCCTCCTTCCGTACCCGTTTGGTTGTCGGTGAATAGCTGCCGCCGTCACAGATGCCGTTCTGGTCTCCATTGAGGGGCGATCGAGCACTGTCTAGTTTCCTCTTTACAGTCTCCTGCAGCTGCAACAAACAGGAAGAAGAAGAAGGATTAGGATTTGGGAAGTACAGGAGATGGGATATGTTAGCTGTAATAAAACTCATCTGCGGTCTTCAGGGAGCTCACAGAGGAAACATAAACCAGACCAATAAGTCGATGACCTGCTTCCTTTCTCATATGGAGAACTGTCATATGGATGCAAGATGTGTAGGAAAAAAATCAGCAAAACAAGTATGCTCCCAAAACTGATTCAAGAATGACCACATGATGAGTTTTCAAATAGAGCACATGTATGCAAACAAGAATCCAGTAAAAAAAAAAAGAAAGGTGCCACCACAGCAATGAGAAGTTAAGCAGGAGGCTGGTCTGGTTTTCTAAGAAGGGATGGTACAGCTCGTCTGTCTGAAGTATCTCCAGTTCATATCTGCTAATGGGCTGCTACATATCCCACTTTATTCTTAAAGATGTGAGCCTTTAAGTTAGCAGCCTTCACACAGTCTGCTTAACTCAACAGTATCACTGCCTTTGTCATGACACAGACAAGATAACAACAGGGTGCTTACTGACACAGACTGGCAGTTAGGTAATCACTATTATAGACCTGGGCTGGAGAGGACACTGGTGAAGGGGCGCAAACAGAACATTTATCCAATGTAAGCCAAAGCGCAATAACACACAAGGCCAGGCAGAAAGGAGAAACTTATAGTCCTTCTAATTTGGCCTTTAATTTGTGCACAGCAGGTGTTTCACATCACCAGAAATGTGCCTTTAAACAACCCTCTCACAACAGAAATCTCATATTGTAGATCTGACACTAAAATGTGTTTAAGCCTCTCTCAAGTCGTTAAAGACGTAAAATAAACATGCAATCAAACTGTATTTTGTCATTTAAAAGTTCCTTCGCAATTTGGACGCAATTTAATAAACTCTCAATCTCAATTTTACTCTAAACTCCCTTTAATTTCAAACACTAATGAAGTTGGCAGAGAAATAGCAGATGCTATTAAAATGATGGATGGGAAGCGGGGACCTCATTTATAAAAGGTTCCCAGGGTGCAAATTTTGTTCTTTGACCCAAATCTGAGAGAAAGTTTAGGGATTCACACAGAAAATGTGATCTTTGTGTGCAAAAACAGTGGTTATAGTTTTCAACTGAATCTTACAAAGAATGGATGGAATAGCTGCAGCTTCATCACGGACTGTTCTTTAAAGATTTTTGATAACAGATTGGGCTGATGACTTATAGCATGATTTATTTATCTAAAGATTAAAAATTGCAGCTAACTTTATTAAAGAAAATAAATCAGTTCGCTATCTATGATGTAATACTATACTGGCACTCATAGTATCTAAGAGAAGCCTTCTGACTCTTAAACTGTTCTCCTATCTATTTCTCTCAGCCTATACACACAGGCACACATGTATTTTCTTTTCACATTTTTAGGCACTCAGATGCTCATTGATTGAACCAAAAGTTACTTTTACAGTACGATGTGTATTCAGCAGATTTACATTTCAAACAGTCTTCTGAGAAAACGGAGCTGAGCAGCAGTAAAACAAATTTGTAAATTCCACACTCTCAGCATGTCACATGTGAGAAAGTCAAACACACACACAAAGGAAGCACTACTGATACATGTGTGTCTGTGAATGCTACGCGCTAAGCTCTTTGTTATTCAGATGGAACAACAGACAAAATATATTCAGATTGTATTCTGACCCTGAGGTGGATTTATTTGAACACACACACACACACACACACACACACGCACACATCTTTTTATTTTTCCTGTGTGTGTGTGTCTGTGACTATGTGTGGGGTAGGGATGTCAGGTTGGCTTCCCCTCTGTTTTCCATATTGATTGACAGTCAGCCTAATTATATTTATGGCATGATAAACACTATTACTATTGACAGCCATATCTACAGTTGTGTGTGTGTTACTTGAACTGCTTGTGTGTAACCATTAGAGAAACAACGCAGGGAAACACACCTCTCCATTGTCATGACACGGCATCATCGGCTGTGTGTGTGTGTTTTATGTGTGTGTGTGTGCCAGAGTGTGTGGTCCTGCAATCAATCAGTTTAAATAATTCAGGTCTCCTGCATATAGCTTTGGTTTTGTGTGTGTGTGCGTGTGTGTGTTGCAGGCTTTCCCTAAATGCCAGTGACTCATGTTGATAATAACAGACTCGCCTATCAAAGCCCACCTATAAAAACTCCCATAATTATCCAGGTGGTGTGTGAACTGTAGCACCCTCCCACAGATTCAACCACATGCGCGCACACGCACACACACAAAAACAGAGGTTTGTCATACAAACCCATCACAGAGAATTATTACAGGTTCAACCTTCTTGATTAAATCCGGCACATAGAGACAGAAACTAAGAGAAATACAGAGAGCGAGAGAGAGCGAGAGAGAGAGAGAGAGAGAGAGAGAGAGACAGAGAGACAGAGAGACAGAGAGAGAGAGAGAGAGAGAGAGAGACAGAGAGGGATTGACTGTGTGTATTTGAGATTTAAGAGAGAGTCTGATTTTGAGGTTTAAATGATGTTTACTGGTTTAAATTACTGGTAGCATTTTATCAGTGCTGCAGATGATTTTACTTCCTTAAAAATAAAATAATGCAAATAATGTAAATGCCAAATGATGACTTGGACCTGTACTCTTGTGTGTATGCAAGCAAAGAACTGGAGACTTCCCCACGTCTGCCTGTGTTACAGCAGTTGTACTGTTCAGATCCATCCTCACTAAGTTAAAATCAATAAAATACCCAAAATATATTCCTGTCAATAAAATCCCTTCATTAAGATAAATTAGGATTGTGCATGGGTAAAATAAAGATCCAGAAGTAGCCAAAAAAGGAGAAGCTATTGAGAGCTGGAGACAAAGAATTTTGAAATAGTTTAATCAAGCTGGAGTGCTTAGCGGGACCAAGAGGGAAAAGAGCCTCAGAATAAGAAAAAATAAAGAAGACGGATGAGAGGATGTAAAAGAGCAAAGACAGGAGAGAGAAATGGAAAGAAAGCACTGCTTGTTCCCCCCTCCTGCGTCTTTCTGTATTCTTTGACATAAACACCTGCTGACTGCTCCTATGTCGGTCCCACAACAGACAGAGCGAGAGAGAGAGAGAGAGAGAGAGAGAGAGAGAGAGAGAGAGAGAGAGAGAGAGAGAGAGAGAGAGAGAGAGAGAGAGAGACAATGACAAAGATGCTGAGAGACAAAAGTAAGAGAGAGACACACACACTCACAGAGGAGGAGAAAGAGGAAAGATTTATTTGTCAGGCAGAAGGTCTTTTTTTTCTCCCTTTGAGTGGAGGAGCTACCAGAACATGAAGATGAAGAGGAAGAGGAGGATAAAGGGTGAAGGAGAGAAGAGAATAGTAGAGGGGAGGGAGGAGATAGGTGGCTTGATGGAAGGGCATAGCGCGCCAAATGACAGTGGGGAGCAAACGATGAGAGGGCGATCAGAGAGGGAGAGGGAGGGAGAGAAGTGAGACAGAGATGGAACCACTAAGGTGCTGTTGTTATAGCAACCTGCTGCTCTGGTGCTTTGTGCGCTGCTGCCTCCTCCTCCTTCCTCCTCCTCCTCCTCCTCCTCCTCCTGCTCACTTACTCCCTCTCTTTAAAGGTTGAGCATCATATCACATTGAAACCAAAGGCTCAATATTATAAGAACATGTCTACGTCGAGACAGTTCCACAATATGAAGATTTTTTTTTTAAATGTTGGAGGCGTCTGTCAGACATGCCCGTCTGCAGAGGAAACCTTTTGTCTACAGGATTAAGCTTGAAAAACATACTGTATCCTTCTGAATTTTTGCCAGTGCATGGTCGAGTCCAATATCTCCTTCATGCTACAGCCCTTCTTCTAACTACCTTTAGCAATTCTTTCACCTCTCTCCTCCTCTTTCCTCACAGCCATATTATCTCCTCGTTCTTTTATCTGTACTGACTACAGCATACGGTCTTAATGATATGTGGCGGGATGTATGCACACACAAACACAAGTAGTAACACATTGGTGACCACTGTAAAAAAAGAAAGAAGTTCACAATCACAACAGCAACAAAGTCATTTAACCTGACGCACGCACGCACGCACGCACGCACGCACGCACGCACGCACGCACGCACGCACACACACACAGCAAGAAGGTTGATGTGTTACTTCAAAAGACTTGAAAACAGATGTTAAAAATAAAGTGCTTTAGGCCAGCACAGAATCAAGAGATAAATCTTGATCATAATAGAGCTTGTATACTAACAACCTCAATAATGTTGTCAGCTAATAGAAGTCACTAAAAGTCATCATTATCTGTGATACACATTTCAGCACTAAAACAGAATAAATGGCCATTAGTCTTTCAAAGCGCATTCGTCACAAACATAATGAAAACACATTGAGCATTGTAATAGAGGCAAAATATCAGAGAATACGCCACTCCATTTGAAATGTACAGAGAAGAAGCGTCAACATGAAGCATAGACTGATGTCCTGTTGTCAAATATTCTCTGTCTGCTTCCATCCTACCTACAGAGCTACATACTTACTACTAAAAAGTAATGGAAGTTATCATCTTCGCTCACAGGATTTACACCTTCTCACCATCCCTGAAGCCCGTACTGAATTAGGAAAAAGGGCGTTCAAGTGTGCTGCTCCCTCTTCTTAGAATCGGTTGCAAGATACTTGAAATCTTCAGGAGCTGGTTTCCTTGAATGTTTTTAAAGGTCGTCTTAGTGATCTGGAGGCAGAAATATCTGACTGTAGATGTTTTAACTAACTCGTATTGCCCTTTTTGATCGCTTTGTTGCTGATGACTTATGACAGATTCTGATGAATGGTTCTTTTTGTGATTCCTGTATCTATGTTCATTGTTGTTAAGTGTTTTATGTCTGAAACCCTGTAATTGTTCTGCTGCCTGTCTTGGCCAGGACGCTCTTGTCAAAGAGATTTTTAATCTCAGTGAGACTTTTTCCTGGTTAAATAAAGGTTAAATAAAAAATTAAAATATATAGAT